AGCGGTGATACTCGAGCCACGCGATCCGCGCTTAATCAGCGTCCGTAGATATGGTGTTTGCTTTGCACTTTCTAAGTACACATTTATCGATAGGCTTTATCGGATACTGAAACCTGTCTTCTCTTATTGCCTTTTGCATATGTTTCTTATTAGATTGTATTGCCTATACGCGCCATTGTTACCAGTTCGTTTGTTTTTCGAACAATAGTGCGGCTTAGCAAACCAAGAGTGAGGTTGTCGATGACTGTAGTTCGCTCGTAGATTTTTGGGCCATTTGAGGAACAGACTGCCCTGTAGCACGCAAGATTATGTGCAGTAAGAAATCTCAATGAGCATCCACATCAAGTTGAGGATGAACTTTCCGATCCACCTGCTGTAGGTTGTCCTGTAAAGCTGACACATTCAACCATTTAAAATTCCAGAGGCTGTTGTTGGCGGAATGTCTTAGCTAAGTTTTGCCGATAAAACTAAAGGCTATGACGGCGTGATCGCTTCCCTTCAGGACAGCCAGTATTGAGAGGTTTTCAATTAAAAATTGTTCGTTTGTAAATACACAGTCTAAGCGCGACGGCGTCAGACTTTCTCCAGCGAGTTGCCAACTTCACATATTCGAATAATCCTAGCAGTGAGCTTCCTGTGGGTGACTCCAACTATACACATTGAGGTTGTAGACAACCTTACTGAGCACCATACGGATTCATGAAGACTGGTGAACTGCTGGTTGTGCACTTGATGTACCTCCAGTTAGGATCGAAAGTATATGGCTACTCCGCCCCAATAACTGTTATTTTTGTCATTGCGCAACGAAGACATCGCCGGTATCGCTAGCTTCTGGTCCGTAAATTCAGAAGATATCCGAATGTGTCAGATATTCCTATCAGCTGAGCATTATAAATATTACTGAGTTCACGAAGCTCATCCGTTTTGTTCGGAAAACTAGCAGAAATCGTGCATAAGCAGTTTATGGTTATGTGGATGGACAGGTAGCTTACCTATATAAAGTTTTCCGAGTTGGTAGCTTTCGTCCCTTACACGTTTTTTAATATCGAAACAGTCTACAAGCGGAATGGTGAGCTCCATCTTGCCTTTGTGCTTGATCCTGGAGTAATGTGGCCTATCCGGGATCATATGGATTCCAGGTGGCAACCGGAGTCTGTGAGGACGAAGTCCTCCCAAAGTTGCAGCCACCATATGGGAAGATGGGAAGATTATCTTCATCAACCGGGGTCTAGAATCTCCGTCCTCCTTGGTTAGTCTCGTCAATTGTTGAGTCAATATGTTGTAGGGCTTCAAGGATTGCCTGCTGGATTTCCTATCCCTAATATCAGAGTTAGTGTGGTCAGGGTTCGTATTTTCCGGTACGCCTTACACAATGATATTTCTTCCGCGGAAAGACTTCTCACGAGATTCCTTACAGATATTCCGGATGAGACTGCGCTCATAATACGGTATATCAGGCAGTATTCTTATATTCCTATCTGACTATATAGTAGCATATCCTCTACGTCTGCAGCGTTAGTGAGTCTTACACGAAGTAGCCTCGGGTGGTTTTGATGCTTAGAGCCCTTTGGCCTAGTGAGCCATGTGACCGTCAGAGGCTTCAGTTGGTTCAGTTCGTCAGTACCTGGAAGGTAGGTTGTGTTGAACATCTGCACTGCTGTTTCTCCAGTTGTACAGTGTTTCCTCAGCTTGAGTTTCATCTTGGCCCTAACCAGGTGGTCATCTTGTAGTGTCGGTTATTATTTTGAGCCCATATACCTTATTCTAGCTTTCGAACAGCCCAATCTATTCATTCTACTTAAGTCACATTCTGACCTTGTTAATTATTCGCTTATCAATCTTGACTGTTTTTATATGAGTGTATTATGTATGTGCCCTTCTTATCCTATTAACTACACGTCTGTAACTTATTTTTGTGTAACTATAAATATTGATTAATGCTTGGCTAAAGGAGAGTTGGCTTACCCGCCATCTCCACTGCGCGTCGCTTTGGTTTGTTCTATTCCATTCGCCTCATATACAAAATATATGTATTCACAAGTCCATTCTCGTTATTTGACTTATCTAAATACGTTATCGACTAACGCGATTTAAGTCGATGATTATATACGAGGATAGGTGGTAAAAAACATTCATACGATCTAATTGGGGTCAGATATCGGGCCACTAAAGTGGAGAGCCCGTCAACAAACATCGTCCGATCTTAATGACGGCAAAATAAAGGGCCCCACAAAAATCTGAAGCTATGACCTCACTTCCATTGACCTGAACTTTTTACTGATGCGAATATGACCTACCTGGTTCTCCGTGCTATGGCCCGGTGAGATCCATCTAGCTTTGTGTATGTGTTTGTGTGTAATATTGTGCCACCTATAACCATTTCACTGAATGCATATAGACTTATAAATCTCCCTCCATTTTAGTTCCTTTCTCCTAGTCCATGTTATTCCATGATATCTTCATAACCTGTGTTGTTCATCCCGACTTTGGCGTTTGAGTCTCCAATTAGGATGTTCAAGTCCTTTCTTAGGCGATTCTTTACGGTTGATTGCAGCCTTTCATACAACTGATATTTATTGTTGTCGTTGCTATCATTGGTGGGCGCGTAACATTCATTGTGATTCCCTCCTTCTTTGTTTTGAAGAATGCTTACGGATCCTAGATCCGTGAGGTTCCCATCTTATAAGTGCATTATGTGCTTCTTTTGACAGCATCAGAGCAACTCCCTGAATGTGAAGAGCATTCCCCTCCTCGTCACCGTAGTACAGAAGCATCTCCGTCATATCTAACCTTTGCTGTCCAACTTGGATCCAATGGGTTTCACTGATTCCGAGTACTGCTAAGTTGTGTCTCCCCACTTTCAAAGCTGACTGGTCCTGCCGGTCTTCTACATTGTCCGGACGTTCCGTGTACTCATAAAAAATTGTTGTTCTGGTTGTTAAAAGAGGTGTCAACCTCGTGACCTCCGAAGAATCTCGGCTTTCATCATGAGGCGTCATAATTCTTCCTTTAACTCCAAGGACAGAGTTTAAATGGTTTAATTTTTAATCTGGTTAGTGTTTTTCAGCAAGAACTTCTTCCACGGGATGGGGTTACCCACCTTATGCCTAATCCCCATTTTAATGCGGGCTTAGGACCAACAGTAACCATAGAAGCGCTACAGACGGAATCAAGCCTTACGAAGACCACCTCAAATCACTGAACCTTTACTTGTATAGTATAGAGATCTCATAGGTGACCTTATAATGACTTATAGCATCCTAAACACTCCTGAGCATCTGATGGAATGCCTACTTAAATTCAGTTTCAACATAAACCTTTGGAGTAACACCCCTAGAACATAACAGAACTGGCTGTAGGCACACCCTTTGCTCTTTACGAGTAGTCAAGTTCTGAAACTCTCTGATGGCTTAGCTTGCCAAAGAGACCCACAAGAAGTCTTCCAAGAGGAAGCTTGACATGTTCTTAATAACTAAGGACAGTATCTCACTATGATTCACTAGTATTTTTCTCTCCTTTACTGAAGATGACAAAGGTATTCAGTGTTTGACAACGCTTCTACCAGTAACACCTTCTAATATGATTTGTACCCACCGAGAGAAATCAAAAGACAGAGTCGAGGAGATCGGAAGTGTATTTGGCGATAACCAAAATATCCGAATTCTCTGATCTAATCTGGCTAGCGATAGCGGTTGATGTTGAGCACGGCATTACCACACGTGATTTGGTGCGGATGCCTGACCGAGCGCCTTCAGCTAGATGAGTTCACTAAAACATATGATCAGCATGCAATGTCGAAAACTTACAGGGCTATCTATTTTGGGGATTTATTTACCGCCACAGATCACTCCCCCCTAGTGAGTTAGTGATGACCCTAAGACGTGCCCAGCCAGAAGTTTAAACCCAGCGAGTTTGTCGTTGGTAAACACTCTTCTGATAGCTTGCTAGGATTAGCAGCGTCTGGTCGTCTTTCCTTACTATATAGGACCGAGGTACAACATAGTAAAAAAAGAAAATGTACAATGAAAATTTCACTCCTCATAAACGTCATCGTTCTTTTCCAGCCGTCCTGGAAAAGAAAAAAAAAATGTAAGTGCATGTCGAAATACACTCGTATGTGCGTAAAAACACAATGTCGGTGAAAAAATTGGAATCTAAACTAATTTACACGTAATATCGTTAAAAAAATTTTGTTTTTTTTGTTTTTGTTTTTTTGGGATAAAAAATAAAAGTATATAAGCATATTAAAATTGTATTTTTTTAAAATATATATATATCGTAAAAAGAAAGATCGAGATAATATTAAATATATTGTAGTGCCTTACGTGCAATAGTCGTTTAAATGATCTGGAAATCTAACTCTTCTTCCAGAACGCGTCGTTTTAAGTTTATTTTCAGATACATTCGGAGTATCATCGCTAGTGTTGGTTGTCGGTTGAGGAATTATGAGTGTAGGAGTCGTGTTGTTCGATTGTACCGAAGGAAAATCGACGTGAATAGGATTTCCTTCTAAATACGCTGCTTTGAGGCGATCGATGCTGATGCTATCGTTGGTTCCGTTCTTATCGACTATATAGTACTTAGATTCACGTTGAAGAACTTTGAAGGGTCCTTCGTATGCTGATTCGAATGGTCGTCGATGCGAGTCTCGACGAACGAAAACGTGTGTACTATATCGTAAGTCAGGTTGAACGAAAACATCAGTTGATTGAGGTCGAGTGGAAGCAGGTTTAACTGAACGCATTGCGTTTGTAAGCCTGTTCGTGTAGGAGGTTAGATCCATGTTCATCGAAGAGCACGAAGGATCCACGAATTCTCCTGGAAGTCGAAGTGTCGTTCCATAAACGAGTTGAGCCGCAGTGTATCCAATGTCAGCTTTCACTGCATTGCGGATACCTAGTAAGACGAGTGGAAGAGCGTCGGTCCATTGTGAAACGTTTGCAGCTGATAGCGAAGCTTTCAGTTGTCGGTGAAAACGTTCTACCAACCCGTTTGCTTGTGGATGGTAGGCGGTCGTTCGGAAGCGAGTGATTCCTAAAAGTGTGGTCAGACGACGGAAAAGATCAGATTCAAACTGACGTCCGCGGTCTGTAGTGATGGTTGAAGGGCAGCCGAAGTTTGCTACCCATCGTTCGACGAAGGTGCGGGCCACTGTTTCAGCAGTGATGTCCTTGATAGGTACTGCTTCTGGCCATCGAGTGAAACGGTCTACGCAGGTTAAGAGATAAGAGTATCCATTTGAATCTGGTAAAGGTCCTACCAAATCCAGATGAACATGGTCGAAACGAGCATCGGGAGTTTTAAACGAGCCTAAGGGACATTTATTGTGTCTGATAACCTTAGATTTTTGGCAGCTTACACAGGAGCGTGCCCACTCCCTCACGTCTTTATTCATGCCAGGCCAGCAAAACCGTTCTGCTATAAGCTTGATGGTTGCACGAACACCTGGATGAGAAAGTTTGTGCAATGTATTGAAGACATTGCGTCGATAATGTTTCGGCACGATTGGGCGATCCCTACCTGTAGATGTGTCACAAAGTAAGGTTTCCTTACCTGTTCCCATCTGTTTGATGCGTAGTTTAAGTGTTGTGGACGATAACTCGTGCTGAAGATCACTGTCTTCTTTTTGAAGCTCGGCGAGTTTAAGAAGGTCGATTCCTTGGAAACTGTTCAAGGAAGTTATGCGAGATAAGGCGTCTGCAACTACATTGTTTGCTCCAGAAATATGTTGAATATCTGAAGTAAACTGCGAAATGTAGTCCAGTTGTCGAGACTCACGGGGAGAGTACTTGTCAGAAGGAGAGCTTAACGAGAAAGTGAGCGGTTTATGGTCCGTGAAAAGAGTGAATTCACGGCCTTCGATATAGTGTTGGAAATGCCGTACAGCACAATACATAGCTAGGAGTTCCCTACCGAATGTGCTGTACCTCGATTCGGTGTCTAGCAACCTTCTAGAGAAAAATGCCAAGGGTTGCCAGGAGTTGTTAACCCATTGTTGTAAGACTCCTCCGATTGCCGAGTCGGATGCGTCTACTGCGATGCTAATGGGTGCTCGGGTGTCCTGATGTGCGAGCATTGTTGCTTTAGCGATCAGTTCCTTAACTGTGGAGAATGCTTTTCGTGCGGTGTCGTCCAAATTAATGGATTTCGCATTTCCACGAAGTTGGTCGGTCAGAGGTTTCATAAGTAATGCGCATTCGGTATGAAACGTCTATAGAAACTTACCAGGCCGTTAAACGTGCGTAATTGCTTGACGGTGGTCGGTTCTGGGTAATCCAGAATGGCCGCCACTTTGGTTCTAAGGGGTCGGATACCTTGAGCATCGATAGTGTGTCCCAGAAAGTCTAACGAGTCGGTTCCAAATTGGCATTTCTGAACGTTTACAGTAATGCCATGTTTTTGTAATCGTTCGAAAACAAGATCCAGATGCTTGAGATGTGTTTCTCTGTCCGGACTTGCGATTAGACAGTCGTCAACATACGCGTGTACGAAGTTGAGACCTCGAAAAACGTCGTCTATGAATCTTTGGAATGTTTGAGCAGCGTTCCTTAGACCGAAAGGCATTCGCAAAAATTCATAGAGTCCGAAGGGAGTTATGATAGCTGTTTTCGGTATGTCGTCAGTAGCCATAGGGATTTGGTTATACGCTTTAACCAGGTCGATTTTCGAAAAGATAGTTGTATCTTTCAAGGTAGCTGTCAAGTCGTAAATGTGTGGCAACGGGTAACGATTGGAATGGATTTTTCATTCAATCGCCGACAGTCACCAGTTCGACGCCCATCGTTGCTGTCGTTTTTACGGACCATGTGCAACGGAGATGCCCATGGGTTGTTTGACGGTCTTATTATACCTAAGTCTATCGCGTGTTCGAAAGCGTTTCTCTCCAACCTTAACTGTTCGGAGGCTAGTCAGCGTGTTTTAGAGAATACAGGTGGTCCTATGGTCGTGATGTGATGTGTAACATCGCTGGTTACACACGGTAGTTTCGGTTGAGTCTGTTGTATCTCAGGGTATTTATCGAGTAGTGGCTGATAGAGTGGGTCTATCATATGCTTAATTGTGACTGGTGATAATTTGCAACCAGAAAAGGAAGTTACGCAAACGGATAAATTAATGTTTCCGTCTACTAGCCTCCGTTTGCGCGTATCGATGATCAGATTATGGTGTTGTAGAAGGTCCATACCAATAATTGGCATAGATACATCTGCAACAACGAATATCCAGTGGATGGGTTTGCGTAAACTTACGTTAAGGTAAACGTACCTTTCGCCATACGTAGCGATAGGTTTTCCGTTTGCCGCCTGAAAGTTTAGAGCCGATTCGTTAGGCCGGTCGTTAGGATTTGCTGGGAGAACGCTAACTTCTGCGCCAGTGTCGACGAGGTAGCGAACTCTCGTTGTCACATCTGTGACGTATAACAGACGGCTATGTTCGCCGGCTACGGTTGCCGTTAACGCGTGCCGGCTTGGAAGTTTCCCGAGTTGTTTTCGAGTCAGTCGGTTTCGTGTTGGGAAAATTGCAGGGTTTTCTGCAATTTCTGGAAAAGTTTCCATACTGGTTATGATACCAGCACCAGTCGGGGTTATCTGTCTCTCGTGGTCTAGAGACAGATCGCTTACGAGAAATGCTTCTACGTGGTGTGCGCGATCTCTTACGGTCGGTACGAAGACTAAGATAACGCGTGAGTGTGTGACATAAGTCGGTTATGTCATTGAGTCGTGTGAGGCTTTTCTTTGACTGAAAATACCTCGGTAGTAGAAGGTTTCGTAATTTCTAGAATGCGGTCGGCAGATGCAGCTAGCTCGTCTAAGGCGTTGTTCTGAAACGAGACCAGAACTGCTTGCACCTGTTGGGGAAGTTTTGACAAGAAAAGGTGTTTGAATAGACCTTCGTCGAAAGTTCTTAGGCTTATCACTTCTCTCATCCTTTGCAACATGTCCGTCGCAGAACCGTGTTGCAGTTCTATGCTATTGAAGAGTTGATCTAACCTTTGTCGATCGGTTAGGTCTCCTCGTTTAAGAATCGAGCGTTTTAAGATTTCGTAAGGTTCGGAAACATCACTAGTAAACATACTAGGTGTTACGTACCTGTTGAATTCCCGCGGTAGTGCCTTGACTACTGCGAGGAATTGTGCACGTGTGTCGTTCACGCCGTGCTCGGAGAAGTCGGCTTCTGCGTAGCAAAACCAGGCTTCGATGTTGTCGGGCCAAAAAGGCATGAGTTGAAACGACGGTGGGGACAGGGTCTTAAGCTTGAGTACTTTGGGTGTCTGTTCAGTCATGATGAAATATGAAGCACGATAATGGACGAGGGGAAAATATACATATATCCAAGAAAAAAATCACAATGTTTAAAAAAATAAAAAATAAGGCAATGATATATAAAAATCCCAAAAAGGAACAGGCTCACAGTTGCAATTAGGTGTACCAGATCACGTTGGTCTCACCAATGATGATGGCACAGGTATTCAGTGTTTGACAACGCTTCTACCAGTAACACCTTCTAATATGATTTGTACCCACCGAGAGAAATCAAAAGACAGAGTCGAGGAGATCGGAAGTGTATTTGGCGATAACCAAAATATCCGAATTCTCTGACCTAATCTGGCTAGCGATAGCGGTTGATGTTGAGCACGGCATTACCACACGTGATTTGGTGCGGATGCCTGACCGAGCGCCTTCAGCTAGATGAGTTCACTAAAACATATGATCAGCATGCAATGTCGAAAACTTACAGGGCTATCTATTTTGGGGATCTATTTACCGCTACATTACCGTTAAATAGACGTAGATTCCTACCTGTAGGCTTCGGTGATCCACTACTACTAGACACGGTAGCGCGTTTAACGGAGGCTTCTTCTATTCCTCCGCGAACCATTTTGACCATTATGCCACTAAATATATTACGGTGCGGTAGGAATGAAGGTCGTCCTTGGGGATTTAATACTGCCGGGAATTCAAAGCTCTGCGCTCCTGTACTCCCAAAGTTTAGCATGTGGTCTTCTGCAAAATCACTGAAGTGCATTGTTTGGGATGTAGTATGTAATGGGAAAGCCAACCGATTGCTGGAAATGGAAAACAGCCTTCAAAAACACAAACAGCTACTGTTATCTCCGCTTTCGTTTCCTGTAATTCTCCACTGATTCTAACCATTTTTTACAGGGCAAAAATGAACGTGATTATGAAGTTGTTAAAAATGCTAATAGTTCGGCAGTTATGCTTCCCGAGTTCCCACATAAGGTGGTACTGTCGGAGGATATAATTCAGGAGTCACTGTTTATTAGTGAAGTCTTCAACTTCAATGAACTTAGAGCTGTAGAGCTTTGCCTAACAGGTACATGTTTTTTAATGATCAACTAATAATCTAATAGTTGAAAGTCAACTGTCCTTATTTCCTCGTCTTGGCCGAGGTTTTGTCGCCGTAGTTCTCTATTATGAGTCTCATCTCTCCATTATCGACACATTGGTTACCTTGATTGGTGCTCGTGATGGACGGATGTGGTCGAATTCTACATCAGCTGAGATTTGTCAAGCTATCCATTCATTTACTGATGAACTGTCTGCCAATGGACTATTCCCAAACATCTTAGGTGGGTCTCCATTATACTACTAAACTCTGTATATCTGCATTTAGATGCTCGAGTGGATGAATGGTGGTTGCAAGAGTTTTTCACTAACTTCTGTTAGCTTAGTAACTGTGAGCACGGTACAATTAGTGTTCCCAAAACATAGTCCCATTAACTATCTTGTCATCCAAAAATTTTATTTTATTGTTAGAAATAGCAATGCTAATTTCCCGAAAATGATTTATTGCATTAAGGGAAAATAACAATATTTCCCAAATTTTCAGTGTCCTATGTATTGTCTACAAAGCGTATTTGTTCAGTGTAATCATGTAATATTAACAAGATTTTTGAATTGTTAATTTGTACTTCTAGTAGACAAACATGATATGATTTAGTCCTAGGTAAATACCTGGTATATTATCCTACATGTGATGGTTAATTTACACTGAACACTTCATAGGAGAATATGCTGATTTTCAGAAGTTAAAATCGTGTTTATTAATCGTTTAATTTCCCTAATGATTGACTTCACTGAAGGTTTCTTCCTGTATTTCCATCCCCAGGTGTCCTACGATCATTCTCCGTGTATAAAGAATTTTCTCGTTTGGAAAGCTTGCAAGTCCTAGGTGATTCAAAGCACCGACATGATGTGTTTATGATGTTGAAAAATATATCTGAAGGTCTAGCTGAATGTGTTATGTTATGGTCGTGTCAAAGTGTCCTAAACTTAGACGAGTTTAAGTTAGTTTTGGATTGCTTACTCAGTTCAACACCTGAAGGATCTGATACAAAAAACAATGACAATCAAACCCAACTTACGTTCCAAAATAATGGGCAATTGACTAGAGAAGGAATGCATCTACTTATGTCTTTGTTGCATTGTTTACAACCATTTTCTTCAAACACATTATGTGCGGATCAAGTTTCAGATCTAACGGATATTGGTAAGCCTTTGTAACTTGTTATAGAAAAAAGTATTGATTGGTAAAATAAATTAAACGAAGTTTTATTCCTTGTGCCCACTGCTTTTAGTTCACTCAGTTTAGTCAGTGGTTTAAAATTCAGTACATATATTATTCTTGATTATATTTAGTTATAAGCTAAGAATATTTTCTATTCTTTTAAACACACACAGTGAATTTTTTAGACTACATCCACTAATTGCTGAAGTATCACACAATAATCATATCATCTGTTATTAATATCTGTCCAACCTAAAGTCAAATTAAAACGTAGTGTCCGTTTGTAAAGTAATTGGCTCTTGGTCTAAGCCATGTTGATAGATACAGAATACTTGATTGAGGTCCATGTGATAGCGGCGATCAGTAGTTGGAAACGTGTAACATAGCTCAGACTCAGTCGCAATTATACATGTGTATTCATTCTTTTTCTCAGTCTAGAGTTTTCCATATACACCCTTTCATCCTGTCTTTTTAAACATGTTCTTAATGTTCGATCTTTCTCATTTTCATTGCTACTACTGCTTTGCTATCAATCTTGTTAATTTCATCTCATGAAAATGTAGTATGGGTGCTTGGGTTAATGCATATATGTACAATTGTCTACTTTGATTCTATAGGGATGATAGTTTATACTACACATTGACCTTAGATAGGCAAGAACTGAAAACGAAGGACGTTTCCACAACTTTCATATTAGTGTGGAACTCTTCAGTGGTGGGAACCCACAACTTTGGGATGGATTTTACTTAGGGACTTAAGGATTTGCAGGTCTCTCA